CCCCCCCACCCCGGTGGACAGCTCAACGGCAGGTGTCCCCAGCTGCTTTTGTTCACTTGTATGGAGCTGTTTCTCAGAGGGGCGACACGACGCTCTTTCTCCAGGACTCCAGGGTGCGCATCACCAGGCCTAGTTTGTTTCACAAAGGTTAGCCAGGCTCCTCAGAAGCAGGGGAGACCAGCCAGGGATGAAAGGCACTAGAGCACTGCTATATGTATGTATTCCCCAAGTTCGTATATCCTGGCAACGCTCTGCGGGAGACGTGCTCACTTCTGTCAATAGCCTTCTCATGGTGTAGGCCCTGAAACTAAGCTCACGAATTCTGCGTGCGTCTGGCCCGGTTCATAGCACCGGGGGGACGACAGTCTCTCTTGTTCTGGACAGGATTCTTCAGTGAGTACGGCCTGTGATCGAAGCGCTGGTCTGCGGGAGCCGCAAGGCAGTATTGACCATACTGAAGTTGCTGTCCATGGTAACTTTTAGGTCTGATTTTCATTGAACAGAGGAAGAAAGGAAAGGAAACAGTCCCACTAAGGGGCGTTATCCAGGGATCAAGGAGGAAGCTGGATGTGGATCTGAGGTAAAATCGTGATGAAGCAATGGTGGTCAGGGCCCACTCAGGGCTGGCTAGTTTGGGGACCGTATCTAGAACTTCTTACCAGGAGTGGTTTTCCTGCTGTAGACCGCTCCCCTGCCCCACCTCTTCTTCTGGCCTTCGTGGCCCCTCAGACTTGGGGAAGGCTGGAACAGTCTGCAGTCAGATGGCTCCTCTTCTTTGCTCATCTCTGTCCTCTCTGGCTCTGCCTCCCCCACCTGCTTTAATTCACTTCTGTTTCTCTCTCAGGTCTGAGCTTAAGTGTTTCTTTCTCAGGATTCTTCCTCCAGTTGGTCCTAGACTGTCCGTCCCTCTGTCCATCTGCACCATCATCAGAGCACCCTGAACTTTTTATTCCTAGTAGCACTTATCAGAACTGTGAGCGATTACGCATGTAGTCAATGTCATGAGGACAGGCATCAAGTCAGGGCACTTCACCACCATTTTCCAGCACAGACCCAGCCCAGAGGAGACACTTAGCACACGTTTGTTGAATGAATGAATGAATGAATGAATGAATTACATATCCAAGGGACTTCTGAGCTCATCTGGCTCAACACTTGTCCCTTCTGCCATGTCCCTGCAAGTGATGAGTTTCTCTGTTTGAATGCTTCGGGGATGGCAGCTCAGGCACACACCTGCGGTCCTCTCCACCTTTGAACTTCTTAGGTCACCAGTAAGCTTTTCTTTACATTTGCAAATCCACATTCATACGTCTTCTTCTTCCTCTCTGCCTCCTTGTCACCCAACCCTATCTCCACACGGACCTCCCCCCCAGTCCCTACTCTGAATGCCACTCTGACCACAGATTTTGGTCTCACTCTTGTCTCAGTTAAACAATGGGGAAGGACGCACACTGCAGGGGTCTCAGAGCTCATCAAGGGCTCTTCTGTCTTTGCACTTTCTTGGGATCCTGCTGCACTTGATTATCCCCGTAACACTGTTTGATGTGGCTGTGTGCTCCGTGAGGGCAGCGTCTATGTCCTCCCTGTGCCCCACTGTGTCCTCAGGACCTGGCACAGAGTCTAGCACATGACAGGCATGCACAAGACATTAGCTGGATGAAAACCTCACAGCTATCTTTGGGGGTCCTTAGGAACTCTTTAGATCCCAGACCTGGGGCTAAGGAAGGCCTCTGGTGGCTGGAAAGTGATACATACGCAGATGACTCGGTTGGGTGACCCGATGCTGGAGCCAGGGGGTGAGATGGAAGTTTCGGACGTCCGCCTATGCTGTGGGAGAGAGGAGACAGAAGAGTGAGAAGGTGCACCTCGCTCTGGAGGGGAGGAGGGGCGGGGAGGAAGAAGGTGGCTGTGCAGGGGACAGCGACAACACTGTGAAATGCACTTGCTGGCCTTCTGTACTTTCTCTTTATTTTCTGCCTTTTAAATCCATGTCTGAGTGTGAATGGAATTGGAAATGCACAGGACTTTGGGCTGTTGGACAGAATTTGGATTTTTGTTCATTTGTTTGTTTTACATATTTGAGGTAAGCATTTATTCATAAAATTTTTCATTGGGGGTTATCCTGCCAATAATGTATTTACTTTAAATGAATAAAATTGGTTAGTACTTATTCCTTAGCAGTTTGTTGATATAAAACATACCAGCAGGTTAAACTTCATGCAATTGCATAATGTATTGATTCTTTACAGGGTATCCATTGCGAATTAACATCAGCATAAGTGATAAACTTAAAAAATCTTTCTCTGAACGGTGGCAATGATGTGTTAATGGCTCCCTCAGCCGAATGGCACTATGTCAACCTCAGTGCAGCCCTGAGAGTGGCAGCATGTAGTTGAAAAGCAAACAGACCGGGGACCAAGCATCACTGGTGAACTATGTGATTTTAGAGATCCCGGATTCCCCATCTGTAAAATGAAGGGGCTGGTCTTTGGGATTGCTAAATTTCTTGCCAGATTTCTCATGGCACAGCTTAGAATTAAAGCATTCTACTTGGGGCTCTGGAGCAGTGTTGCCCAAACTGTGGGTCATGAACTAGTGATCCTAGTTCATGGGAAGATGAATTTAGGGGGAGCATTTGATGATACCGAGTTGCAGAATGGGCGTGTAAAATGTAAAATTGTATTTCATTCCTCTTGGTTAGATCAAGGAGGAAGTCTTAATTTAGTGCTAATATATTTTAGCAACTTTCTTGACAGTTCCTTTTTTTTTTTAAACAATGCCATCTAGCTGGAATTTCTCAGATTTATTTATAAGAAACATTTCATTTGCATTGAATGTATTTTATGGTTGCCTTCTACTGTTAAAGCAAGTAATGCTGGTTTTCTTATTTTTTTGTAAATTTTTTTTTTCAACGTTTATTTATTTTGGGGACAGAGAGAGACAGAGCATGAACGGGGGAGGGGCAGAGAGAGAGGGAGACACAGAATCGGAAACAGGCTCCAGGCTCTGAGCCATCAGCCCAGAGCCTGACGCGGGGCTCGAACTCACGGACCGTGAGATCGTGACCTGGCTGAAGTCGGACGCTCAACCGACTGCGCCACCCAGGCGCCCCAGCTGGTTTTCTTATTTAAAATAAGTTCTGTTAAGTAAAGAACAGTGGGTTGACGTAAAGTAAAAATATTGATACAGGTGATTCACAGCCATGGCAAAAGCATCAGGGTTGTAGAAGGATAACTGGATTTGAGAAATGCCACCCAAAAGGTGGAAATTGGGGAAGAAAGGGCAATTAGGTCTTTTTACATCTTAAATGGGAGAGGACCTGGAAGAAACAGGGGGAAAAAGAACCTCACGGCTCAAACAAAATTATATGTCAACAGACCAGTTCTTTCACAAAGAGGCATTTTGGATATTATCCAGTGCCCGTCCCCAACACACACCCAGGTTTCTCCTCCACAGTATCGAGGACTCAGGAGCTGGGCTCCTCCCTGCAGTCCTTGGAACAGGAACCCAGATTCACAGGACTTCTTGGTACTAGTCAGAGCGGGTAATTGAAAGGGACGCGGGACCGCAGCTGGCCTAGCGTGTGCCTGGGGACACGGGCTGTGCTTCTGCTGGCAGCATTACTGTGGGCAAATCACCATCCTCTTTCGACTTTGAATTTCTCACAAGCCAAGGGAGGATAAAATTCCCTGTCCCATCTGATCCATGGGGTTAAAGAGATAAAATCAGAGAGTGGCTGATGCTTTGCAAACTGCCAATTCGTGTGTTAATAATCACTAATAAATGACCCCAGGCTCGGGAAAACCCCCCCGTGTGTGTGCTTCAGAGAGGCCGCATCTTTCGCTAAGGCGAAAGCCTTGCCCCAGGAATGCTAAAAACTCACATCAATACAGTGTTTCACGGTTCTCAAAGTGCTCTCGCATGCAATGTCTTTATCCCCGCAAAAGTCCCATGAGGCAGGTGTTACCATTAAGGAAACCTAAGGATACAGGTACACAGTTGGGAGCATGCGTACTAAGGAACAACTCCCTACTAAAACACAGAGCCCCCACCCGGTGGCAAAAAGTCTGGTCCGGCATCGCTACCGGCTTGCTTACCTTTAACTTCTTCTCTGCCCGGGCTGCCTGTTTGCAGATGGGGTGCCAAACCTCAGAACCTAAGGACACAGCAAAATAACAAAGGCTCGGACCTTTCATACCTACTAGTTTTCTTGCCATCCTCACCTCAGTGTAGTCCCTCAGCAGCACAAGTGCCCTACACAGGGGCCAGGAGCACCCCCAGGTGTCCCAGGCTCTTTGCTGTGACATCAGTTCAACCCCCCCCCACCTTCTACCTGTCCACATCCTACCCATTCCTCAAGGTCCAGGTTCCACACGGCATCTTCCTGCAAACTTTCTTACCTGGCAGCTGGGAGAGACTTCTCTCTTCTCTGTGATCCATCTTTCTTTGTATCTTTCTTAACACGACCTCACATCACAGTAGCTTGTGGATTCATTGCCCTAACCAAATTAGAAGCTCTTCTGGGCAGGGGCTGAGCTTTATTCATTGCTGGATCTCCCGAGGCATCCAGAATGGGATTTTGCTCTCAGCAGAGGCCCCGTTTTGCAGGGTGAACAGATGAGCGGATGATTGGCAGTGAGTGACAAGTAGCAGGTGGTCAATAAATATTTGTTGAATGAATGAATGACAGTGGAGGTGAAATAAAGTGACAGGCCATGGTGAACGCCAACCTCCTTTCTCTTCAGAGACTTATGACAGTCTACTAGATCTATCAACCGAAGGGGAGGTGGGGTCATGGTGTATATTCTGCTTGAGCGCACTGTCTTGACCTGCTAATTCCTAAGAGGCTCCAGACTCTTCAAATATAGTATATCGCAAATGCCCGCATTTTATTGTGGGCACCGAAGTCTAGAGGCCATCTTGGGAAGGCATGAACAACAGGTGGTTGGTCACATGTTGGGAAGAAGCCCCAAATATTACACATTCCCCAAAGAAGAGACAGGTGTCCTGGATTAGAAGGAAAAATAGGAACATATTATCCCTCTGGTGCCACTCCTCTTATTACCAGCCCTAAAAGGAAAGGAGCCAGCAAATGGCTGGATTCCTGAGCACCCAGATGGCATTTGTTTGTCTGACTTTGTTTTTAGGATATACTTTCCATTATGGTTTGTTGCCTGGAACCCCCAGGCCTGGGATGCGGGCCAAGCGACAAGGGGGTGGCGTAAAGTTGAAAAATTAGCCCCAAAAACGTGATACAGAGAGGATAGGCCTGAAGGTAAGGAGCCTGGAGTCTGGTTTCTGGAACCTGGATTCTTGCCTCCTCTCGGCCCCAGGCACACCCTCTCCCTGGGTTCCGGTTTCTGCGTCTAAATAACAACGAGGTGGAGTTTGGATGGTCTCAGAGGTTATTTTCATCTCCAAAATTTTAATTCTAGGCCCGGTTGGTCATTTATGAGCTAGGGACCTTTCAGTTTTGTTTGCTGAGTTTCTTGTGAGTTCCTAATAATTCAACACGAGTTTAATTCCTGCTCACGTAAAGTGCAATGGCTCTCGGAGCCCAGTAGAGGGACTCTGGGTCTGCGGGCTGGAGCCTGCCAGTCGCAGGGTGTGTCTGCGACCAAGTGATGGGTGGGGATCCTTGCTTTGGGGAGTTAGTCGAGAGAGCATTTCCGGGTCTGAGAAGCTGCTGAATCCACCAGGAGTTGTTTACCCCTGTGGCTCTGGCAGGAAGCACATGTTACAGGTCACGGTAGGAAATGGATGAGGGGGATACAGATGTCTAAGAAGGTCGTGAGATGAAGCGAAAGAGGCATCTGAGGGGAAAGAGGCAGGCAGAAGTTCTCATGGGGGGAAATGATGTGTAAAGAGTGGAGGTCAGACTAGATGGTCAGGTCCCGCCACGGACACAGTCTGTTCTGAAATAAAGCTGGGCTGCCAATGGCTTCAGCCCTCAGCATACGGGAAAGCAGGTTTATAGAAGTGGTGGGG